ACTGCCCCAAGCACCGCGCGCCGGGTGGAGCGCCCTGGTGGGCTCACAGATCAGGGCGCGGCGGAGGGGGCGGTGGGGTGCGCATCTGGGCTCAGCCTTCCTCCCCCCACCCCTGCAGGGGACGGGCCCTTGCGCTGCAAACAGCTGACGCTTCTGCTGGACTGGATGGAGCAGTTTGAAGCCGAGAGCCGCCAGAGTGGCGAGGCCGTGGCCTTCAGCGTGCTTCTGGGTGACCTAAACTTCGACAACTGCTCTTCAGGTGAGGGGGAGGCTGCGGAGGGGCGGGGCCGGGCGGCCTGGCCCCGCCCACCGAGCGCCGGCCTCTTCTCGCAGACCACGCAAAGGAGCAGGAGCACGAGCTCTTCAGCCACTTCTGGGATCCCTGCCGGCTGGGCACTCGCCGGGAGCAGCCCTGGGCCCTGGGTACGGCGCCCGGGCGGGGAGCGGTCCTAGGGAGGGCTCCGGGGCCTCGGCTCCCTGATGACCGCCCTCCCCGCCCTCCCCCAGGCACGATGCTGAACACCTCCACTCTGCACCACTCGGTGGCCTGCTCCCCAGAGATGCTGCGGAGGTGAGTGGCGACCTGGGGGTCAGGCACCGCCCAGGACGGAGGGGAGCCCTGGCCATGGTGACACCGCCCGTCCTCAGGGCCCTGGAGCAGGAGGAAGGGCGCCACCGCTACCTGGCAGGCCCTCCCGCCAGAGGCCCGCGGGCTAAACCCTGGCGGGGCCGGCGCGTAGACTACGTCATGTACCGGGGAGTGGCCGGAGGCCCGCTGAGCCCAGTAAGTGCCAGAACTCCGGGCGCTGGGCCGGCCGGGACTGAGGCGACACCTCAACCTGACTCCCTCCCCCAGGAGGTGGAGCAGGTGACCTTCAGCACCGCCCTGGCGGGGCTCACAGACCACCTGGCCGTGGGACTTCGGCTCCGAGTGTCCGCGCCCTCCTGACGCACGCACGCACGCAGGCCGGGTGGAAAGACGGACACGGACGCAGAGCGTGAGCCTGGCCAGTTGCCGCGGGGACGGGGCGACTTCAGAGCTGTTTATTGTGGGGACCCTCCCTCACACTGCCTCCTGGGCTCTGCGGTACTCATAGACGCTGCCGCGCTCAGGGAAGGCTGGGAGCTGCTGGGGCGACCCCGGCGGCTGCGGGGCGGGGTCATCCGGGTCCCCATAGCCCCCGCCGCCTGGTGTGTGGAGGCAGAACACGTCCTGTGGAACAGAAGGGTAGGCTCAGCGCGGGCATGCCCTCCCCGCCAGCTGCCTCCCGCTGCAGGCCCCCCCACCCCCCCATCCAGAGCGGCCAGCCTGGACCACGGAGGCCCACTGCGCGCCCTCTTCCCTTAAGAAACCAAATTAAATTCAGTCTCTCGTTATCTTTGCAACTCTGCTCACCCTTTGTGGAATGCGGATCAATGGGGGGCGGGCGGGAATGGGAAAGGATGGGGCTCAGTCCTTACCCCGGGGTACACGGGCACCGACGTCTTCCCCCCCAGATTCACCGTCCGGCCATCCTTGCGGATCAGCAGGTTTAGGCCACGGGCGCCGGGCTCGCCCCCTGAGGGAAGAGGCCAGGTGAGGCGAGCCTAGGAGCCAGGGAGGGAGAGCAAGGAAAGAGGTTGGCGGGGAGGCAGGAGGACGCCGGCCGGAGGGGGCGGGGGGGGGCGGGGGCAGGGGAGCGGGGCTGCTCACCGTGGAGGCCGTCGGGCTGGAAGGCGCGGCGCTCGGTCAGCACGGGCGGCAGCGCCTCCTGGCGGAAGAGCAGCTCGCGGACGACGCCATCGCCGCCCCGGAAGCGGCCGCGGCCCCCAGACCCCAGCCTCAGCTCAAAGCGGCGCACGATGACTGGGTACCTGCGCGGGCCAGGGACTCAGTGCGGCCCGCCCGGGCTCCGGGCCCCCCGTGCCGCCCCCGCTGCTCACCTGCTCTCCAGGATCTCCGGGTCGGTGATGCGCGTGTTGGTCATGTGGCTGTGCACGCCGCTGCGCCCGTGCCAGCCGGGGCCCGCGCCCGCGCCGCCGGCCACCGTCTCGTAGTAGCCCATGTGGGCATTGCCCAGGGTCACATTGTTCATGCAGCCCTGGCAGGGGCAAGAGGCATTTGCGCTGGGCTGGAGGGTAATCCCCCCCAACAGGCCCGAGCGTGCCCACCCACCCGCCGCACCTGCGAGGCGGCACAGGCCCCGAAGGCCCCTAGGATGACGTCCACCACGCGCTGTGACGTGAGCACGTTGCCGCCCACCACGGCCGCTTCAGGGGACGGGTCCAGGATGGAGCCTCTAGGGATCACCACGCGCACGGGCGCCAGGCAGCCCTGTGGGGGAGGGGCCAGCTCTCAGGGCAGGTGGGGAACATACGTGCCCCTCCCACCAGCACCCCCAGGATCAGTCCGTTGTTGGGCTGACCGCGCCCCCAGGATCATTCAGGCCGCGCGCTCCTGCGCACCTGGTTGAGCGGGATGTCGCGGCCCACCAGACAGCGGAGGCAGTAGATGAGCGCGGACAGCGTGATGGCCCGCGGCGCGTTCAGGTTGCCAAACACCTCAGGCCCCGTGCCGCTGAAGTCAAATACTGCGCTGCCCTGTCCGTGGGGGAGAGGGGAGGGGAGAGGTCAGCGGCAGCCAGGCGGCCACGCCTCCGATGCCCTCCGCCCTGCCGCTGCGCCGGCCGCACCTGACTCAGGTTGATCTGCACGCGGAGTCGGATGGGGGAGCCGTCGTCCATGTGGTCCTCAGCTGACACCTCCAGGGGCAGGCCTCGGGCCTGCCGGGAGGTCCCGAAGGCCCGCAGCATGTCCCGCACGGCCAGCTCAGCGTTTGCCTAGCACATAGGATGTTCATCGGGCAGCCAGGCCGCCTTCCAGGTGGTGCGGGTGCTCCCCACCTACCCATCCAGCTGCCTGGGGGCGCGCACAGAGCTGCCCCCCGGTTGCTGCCCCTCGGCCCACCTGAATATGGCCCATGTAGGCCTGCACCACATCCAGGCCATACTGCCCAATGAGTTCTCCCACCAGCTGGATGCCCTTCTGGTTGGCTGCCACTTGCGCACGGAGGTCCGAAAGGTTGTCGTGCAGGTTCCGAGTTCCGCTACAGCTGGGAATCTTGCTTGGAGCCCGCAGGGCCTCAGTTACCGCTGGATGGAGGAGGTCACCACTGAGCCACCCCTGAACCCCTGGGGCTGCCTGGTCCCCTGCTCCACACCTACTTCACCCCTGCTGGGCGCTGTGTGGGGCACCCCATGTTGGCCCTTCACTGGCTCCCCAGCACCCCCAAAACCCCCAGCCTCCTCCCATCTGCTCAACCTTCTTCCCACACTCCAGCCCCCCAGGGCACCCTAGACTAGGACAGGCAGCTTTGCCTGTGACCTCACAGGAGCTGGGGGTTCCCCGGGGCAGGCAGGGGGTTCTTCCCTCAGCAAACTCTGCTTCCCCCTTTAATTCCTCCTGCCCTACCTCCCCACCACCTGCCCCACTCCCTCCTGCCCTTTCTGGGCTTCCCTCCCCCTCACAGGAGAAAAACGACTTCCCTTGACCCTCCCCCAGTCACACTGCCCCAGGGGCCCTCTGTCAACCACTGTGAAAGAGCATCAGCTGGCCCTCTGTACCTCCTGCCCCACCCCCAAACAAATCTGACCTAGGCCCCTATGCCCCCTGGGGAGCCCCAGAGGCTGAGGGAAAGCCTCTCTCCTCTCATCTCTGACCAAGAGATGACCTCTCTCTGAGCAGTCACAGTAGGCTCTCAGGCTCCCTGGCCACTGTGTCCTCTGTCTCGTGCCTGCACGTGTCCCTCCCGTGATCCCTGCCCCTTGCCCCCTGCTCCTCCACGCTGACCAAGGGAGCGGCCAGGCCTGGGTCACTCTGTTTGTGTGAAAGCAGCCTGAGGCTCTATTACCCCACCCTCCACCCTGCCCACCGCCACCCTCACTCTGGGATGCCCCCTGGGCTCCAGGGCCCCTGCACTCTCACATGAGCTCTGAATTCTCCGCTGCCCATGTCCTGGACCACGCTGCAACTTCTGCCCCAACTTCCCTGCAGCTGCGCTGTGCCCGCCAGAGCCTCCCCCTATCCTCTAGCTGTCCAAACTTGACTCCCCACCCCCACCCCCAAATCCCACCAAATGCCAACCTTGATCTCCAAGCCAGTTGTCCCTACCCCCACTTCCACTGCCCAGCTCGAGGGCCAGCATCATCCAGGGCAACCGTGGCTGTCCCCCACCCCACTCAGCCTGGCCTCTGGGCCGCCCTCCAACCCCCACATCCACTCTGCACGTAGGCTGAGGGCTCTCATGGTGTGTAGGCAGACCAGTGCAGGCCCACTCAAGCCCTTCATGGCCACCCCACTACCCAATGACTCAGACCCAGGCCCAAGAAAGGGCCCGCAGGGCCTGGCCCCTGTCCTCACTGCTTCTCTGCAGCCCTCAGACCCAGGGCAGACACAGCTCAGACTGTAAGCACCATGAGCAGTGGCCTACCTTGCAACAGTCTCCTCTCCCTCCTGTGCCCAGTGCCATGGGTGTCCTGGCCAGCTCCCCGCCCCCAAAATCACTGAGGCCTTCCTGGACCCAGGCAGAGTTTGCCTCCGCTCCTCTGGTCATGGCTGAGAGATGATCTGCAACCACTGTGGGGTCGCTGCCTGGCTGCCCCAGGCTCTAGGCAGGCCTGGGCCAGTAGGCTGTGTCCCAGTGTACCCCCTGCCCCGGCCTGGCTGTAAGGGGCAGCCATGTGTGCCAGCCCACCAAATCCTCCCCCCCACCATCGCCCCAACCCCACCCCCACTCACCCTCCTCCTGGAAGACTCCCCCCTGGACCAGTTTGAAAGACAGAAAGACAGCACCCTCCTGCTGCAGTGTGGTGGAATGGGGGGGCATGGAGCCTGGTGTGATGCCCCCAATGTCTGCATGATGCCCACGGCTAGCCACGTAGAACACAGGCCGAGTCTGACCCGGCCAAAACACCTGGCGGTGGAGAGCAACCGTCAACTGGGTCAGCCGCCCTTGCCCCCCAGAGACACCCAGGCAGAGGTCCTCACCGGTGTGATGACCGTCAGGTCCGGCAGGTGGCTGCCCCCAGCACTGGGGTGGTTGCTCAGCAGCACGTCGCCAGGGTGGAGGTCAGCCCCCAACTGCTGGATCTGAAGCCAGGAGACAGTCCCGAGTTGGAAGGGGCGGAGGTGAGGGGTGGGGTAGGGAAAGCAGAGAGGGGACCCGCCAAACCTGGAACTGCACGGTCTCCTGCATGGCGCCCAGGTGCACAGGGATGTGGGGGGCATTGGATACCAGCCCCCCATCCGGCCCGAAGAGGGCGCAGGAGAAGTCCAGACGCTCCTTGATGTTGGTGGAGATGGCTGTGCGCTGCAGGATGCGGCCCATCTGCTCTGGGGGCACAGAGTGACCAGGCGCCCGCTGGCCCCACCCCACCCACAGCACAGCCCTAGATTACGTAGAATAGGAAGAGGCAGGACCTTCAAGGCCCCAAGGGTGGTGGGGGCTCACCTACACAAGGTGAGGCCACAGCCAGGCCATGCCTTGCCTGTGTGAGGGGCACCCCCTTCCTCTCCATCCCTGCCTGGAGCCTCACCAAGAACCTGGAACCCCACATCAACCCTCCAGCTTGCCCAGCACAGTAAGCAGTTGGTGCTGAGGCACAGGATTCAGGGCCCCCAGCAAGCCCCCAGCCTGACCCTGCACAGATGGGTTCACTGTGCTGAGCCTGTTTCCTGTCCACAGGTCCCATGGCTGCCGGTGGGAGGTAGGTACTCGCACCGCGCAAGGCCCGCTGGTGTACGGCGGCCAGCCATCCCAGCACCAGGGCCACACTGCCCACCCTTCCCCGGGTCACACTCCGCCTCTCTCTGCACGCTCCCGCCGGCCACACGGCCTGCACCTCCGTCTGCCTAGTACGCACACTCCCACACCCCCCCCCACGAGGGGGCAGAGCCACTGGGGGACGGTGGCAGCCACTCACCAGCAATACTCATGAAGCGGTGCGAGAAGATGGACAGGTGGATGGGGTCCAGCTGGGCACCCACCGTGCTTGGGGCCTCAGCCCCCACAGAGATGCGGATGTCCCCCGTCTCAGTCACCTCTGCCTGGCAGCCTGGTTCCACCAGGATGGTGCTGAGGGCAGGGGCACGAGAGGCTGGAGGCGCCAAGCCAGACCCCTCATCCCAAATAGGGACCCCACATCCCCAGGCTGGGGGACGCACCAACCATAAGGGGACCCCAGAGGCCTTCATATTCCTGTAGCCTTGGGCCAGAGAACCCTCCGCCAGGACCCCGAGCTCACC